GCACTGCTATGCCGTTGGACGTGGCTCGTCGCTGCTGCCAAGTGGCCCTTTGCAGGAGGTGGCATGTGATGAGGTGCTTTTCGGCTCCTGTCCTATTAATCAGTTGTCAAAAGGTGATTCTGGATTCCTTACAAATTGCATGAGATGATGCTGAAAAAAATGTGGAATTTGCTGAGTTTTCAAAACACGTATCATAAATCCTAAGGAATGTTTTCTGCCAACACAGTCCTTTCTCTGCTCCCATATAAAGACTTTGAATGTAGGTGAAGACTTTGACTATTGGTAGTCAAAAGAAGTCACGTCACGTATATTCCATTTGAATTTTGCTCTTACCCATGCAAATAATTTCAGTTCCCCTCTTCCTGGCTCGTCTCATACGTATTTTATGTCTGACTTCTTCTAGCCAGTTTTCGTTCTGCCCAGGGAAGTCTGGGATGTGGGATATGCCAGTCGGTTCAGGGGCTGTTGGACATTTTAATTCTCCTTGTGTTGTCGTCGTCGTCATGAGACAGAGCTGGTGAAAAGGACAGAGGAGTTTTCCAGTGTCTCTAGGCAGCTTTCCTCCCTGACACTTCCCTTCGGCTTGTTAACGTACCTACGGTGATTTCTGGTCCGTCCTACAGCAACAGAAATCAACCTGCGGTCTCTGGAGTGCGCTAAGGTTGCTAGGCTGCTGTTTCAGTCCCCGAGTTACGTAGCTGTTTGCAGGTGGTTTGATTGCTTGACTTCACTGAGCTGAAAATACAAACGCTGCTAAGGGTAAAAGCCATATCAACATCCCCATTTGCTCTTAAAAAAACAATTTTTTTGATCATTTTCTTTTTGGAGTTCAAAATATTATTTAAATGTTAATCACTTGAAACTGTGCTTGGGCATATAATTCAATTATGGGACCATCTTAATTATGCAGATGGTGCTTACGAGCATCTGATACGATTACTGTGCCAATTCAGTACACACTCTTTCAAAGGGCTTAGCTGAAGCACGTTGTTATTTCAATGTGTGTGGACAAATTCGCTCTTTCGGGAAATGGGATCATGGAATCGTAATACGGCTCCGCTCTGCGCGTTGCTCGCAACGGCGTGTAAACCGCAACGTCTTTAGCCGCTTTCCTGTACTCTGTGGTGGTCTTTGACTCGCAAGAGATTCCTCCATGGTTTTAACATATCCAGAGGGATGAAAATGGAGACTTGAGTTAATAATCCATCATCCCTCTGGGGAGCGTGCGGTTTTATTTCTGCTTGAATTTTCATCCGCCTTTTGAATGCTGCGCCACATCTGGAAGCCGTGTATAAATCTCACTCAATCAAGCTGATAACAAGAAGGGAAAATTAGTGGAAATAGCATTCACCATAAATTGGTGCAAAAGAAACACCACGTAGGACTTACTAAAATAAGACTGAATACTTAATGTTGTCCCTTCTTTCAGCGTGAGTCTAATGAGAATGAACCTTTAGGCTGTTTTACAGCATAGCTCAGTGTTTAAGCGAGATCGGCATTTCAGATTACTATAACATATCTGGGTTTTTTTCGTCTGCCTTTGTGTTAGTTTGGATCAATTTTCATAGCATCACTTTTAAGTGTATGCGAGGCTAGCCTTATATACCTAATTAATTATCTGCCATTAGGGGTCTGTAACAGTTAGGAAGGGTTAACAAAGAACTAGAATTTACATAGGATGCAATATCCAGAGCGGATATTCTAAAATAACCGAGTTTTGAAGGGGATATAGACATTCATGCTTCTGGCCAAAGGTCATCCTCTAACTTGCGGTGAGTAGGAAGATTTCTTAGAGGGTAGTTTTATTCTGCTTTCACACAGCTTTTCATTTTAATTTTTTTTTTTTTGGTCTCACTGATTCTGATCAGAAATAGGATATTAAAATATCTCATGGTCCCCACCCGGTATGGTCATATCTGTATTACTTTTGAGCTCACTTGCCATCTATCCTCTTTAAATTTAGGTACTGCACAGGTGTTACGTAGATGATGTACAGGATAGGTGTTATCACCTCAGAAAAGCTGTGTAGTACCTGAACTCCTGCTTCTAAACCGCCTGCACAAGCACTTGCCTGTTACGATTTACTTATGCTTAAGCAGAGAGGGTGCCTGTGTCTCTGGGGCTGTATATAGGGTCTGTCTTCTCGTTTTTGTAGTTTAACTCTTAGAGGAGTGTCGGTGATGATATCGCCGTGAACAGAAATAGATTAGAAATAGTCATATAAAATTTATGCTAGGAAAATTCGCGCTATTGCAAATTCTGGTTCCCAGGGTTGGGTTTATTCGCATTTTGTAGAAACAGATCAGAGAAGGAATTCAAATCCTGAGTGTTCGCTGCAGTCCCAGGTCTCAGCTTTGGGCTGAGCACTTACTCACTGCCGTCAGTGGTGGTCGGGCCTCAGGCCCGCTCTTTGCACTGGGCTGAGCAGCATCTGCACAGCACGGCTTTGCTATGTGTACGCTTTTTAAACATCACAAAAAGACATGCCCGTTGTCTGCATGCATGAAGGCGGCAGTCGTTCAGTTGTAGATTCTCTTACTACTGAAGATTATTTTCATTTTGGCTTTATGCTTTCTTACAAGTACTGCTTGCAACATTAATAAATATTTTAATTATAGCAAAAGTACCACCTAGGAAAATAAATCAAAGCACTTTTTTGATTTCAGTTTCCTTCCTGGATAACTTAGCCAGTTACCAAATCTCCATCATGAAGCAACCCATGCAATTTAGTAAGCATAACTTAAAAACAATGTGGGACTAGTACACAAGGACGAGGAGTAGAAACCGAAAGATTTGCAACATTAAGTGCATGTCTGGGGATATTGTTCAAAACTCGGTAGTTGATGCTGCCTTCTAATGACTGGTCGACCTGTGCTTTATAGAAAGATAAGACCCAGGCTTGAAAGAGAAATGCATAATGCATGAGAACTGAGAGAGAACGGATATTGCTTTGGCTTGGACATATGAGTGGCTATAAGAAGCAAGTACTAAAAGATGACATTGATGTTTGCTTTGCTGTTGGAGCAAAATCTCAGCTGTCTAATGCATTGGAGGAACTGTTCATAGATCTTACTGTGAAAATAACCCTGTAACTTCTGGTGGAGTCAGCAAAAGTATGGATTAGGTGCCACATAATTACCATTCACAAAAATGTAAATTACGGAGGGGTCATACTAGTGCTGTTTATGCTATTATGCTATTTAGCTATTAGTTCATGAAGAAATATAACCTCATTTGTCTGTCACTGCCGTCTATGGGACCTTCTCTTAATAAGGCATCAAATTGCTTTTTCCATGATATATCAAAAAATTCAGGTGAATTAATAATGACATTTCTGGTGGCTGCACAGGTGAGTTCAGTTCTGACACCGTTTCATTCCAAAGAGCTGCATTCCCAGTGTCCTTGAGAAAAGAACTCTCTCCAGCAATGCATCCGTTTCTTGCATATCACAATTACTGTAGCCTTTTAGCGCAGTAACGGGGCTCTTCCAAAACGAAAGTGGAACGCAGAGCTGTAATGAGCGTACAGTGATGCAAAGGTTTCCAGGAAAGGAATGGTGGGACAGTATGCAGAGAAAGCACTGCCTCAAGGGGTTTTTTTGGAGCAAAAGAACAGCAACATCTGCAGCAAACAAGCACTCATTTCTTGCGTGATAGGTTTCCCTGTTGTCTGTAGGGCTATGTGTGCAGGCTGTTGAAAATGGAAGCTCCCTGTGCTATTAGGGATCTGTTTAAGATCTTACATTGGCTTGCTGAGGAGTGGACGATCTCTTTTGCTTTCTAACTGTGAGAACATTTCCCTGGTGATTTTTTATTAGTGTGGTACCTCACAGAGGACCTGACAAGCCACACTGTTGCAATATTAAGCCCTTTCTCTCATTATAGGTCATCTCCTACCTATTTTCCTTCTGAGTGGTAAATAGCACATATGTAGATGACAATGAAAATTTCTGTGTGCTCCTGCCTGATTGTGTCGGAGAGAGATCCAGGTTGCTGTTGGAACTATATATACTTGGCACAGTTGATAGGACTCTGGCTGGATGACATAAGAGAACTTGCACTAGTACTATCCAAGATTTTATGACTCAGCTGATTAAATTTTACTGACTGGTCACTGTGTAGATGTGCAAAATAAAAAAAAAAAAAAGGATGCTAAAATGCCTTTGTGTGCTGCTCTTCCATGGCTACATAGGATTCTGGCATAACTGGGATGAAGTGGGTTCGTAGGATTGCTGGGTAAGGGAGGTTGGAAGGGACCTCAGGTGCTCGCTAGCCAGGGTGCCTGGAGAGCTCTTGCTCAAAGTAGGGCCAGCAATGAGGTCTGACCAGGTTGCTGAGAGCTTTACCCACTCTTATCTTGAAAAACCTCCAAGGCTGGAGACTGCATAACCTCTCCAGGCAGCTTGTTCCACTGCTTGCCACCTTGCCTTTCAGTAAGTTTTAGTCCAGATCCTATGCTCCTCTCTTCTGTTCTCTCAAGAGAACCACATTTTCTGTCCTTCCCTGGTAGAACTAACCCTGCATGCGTAGCGCAGGATGTCACACTTCAGATGTTTCATTTAGACTTAAGACAACTGCTGATAGAGAAAGTTGAAAGAAGGTTCTTCTCATTATGGACTTTGTGCATGTGTGTGTGTACGGAGTAGCGAGACGGGGAGTATTTACCGTTCCTATGTATATTCAACTTTAATGGGCAGAACATATTATCTGAAGGCTTCTCTAAAAATCTGTTTGGAATTTTGAAGAAATCTGGGAGGTTGTACATAAAAAATTCCTTTTATATGTTTTAAGCTAAGATAGCACTGTTACATGTCTGTATATTCTGGCTATGAAAGTACCAATGTTGACTGTGGTATTCTCATTTTTTTAATGTAGCAGGCAAATGAATGGGGTAGCTTTGGTTGACTGGGTTAATTTTTTTTGATTTAACCCCAAAGTTCAGTCTGGCTATATTTGATTATTGCAAGATTAATGAATTATAAACCTTTCCTCTGATTTCAGGCTTCTCAATGCCAATAAGATCAACTGCCTGAGGGTAAACACGTTCCAAGGTCTGCATAATCTCAAACTGCTATCTCTTTATGACAACAAACTGCAGACCATCAGCAAGGGGCTCTTTGCACCTCTCCGGTCGATCCAGACTCTGTGAGTATGCAGGCATATCACAAATGACAGCTCTCCCTTTTTCCCTGAAGATGTTGCCTGTCCTTGCACAGGCTTAGCATCTTGACATTAAGACAATTTGGAAGGGATCGCAAGGCAGTAGCCCCTCCTTTTCTGGCAGAAATGAAAGGAGCAAGGAAAAGAGAAGGATTGCATAAATTCATCACAGCTGCACATTGCTACATTCTGTCCTTAGAAATATAGATGTCATAAGTGTATTAAACTCCCCTAATAATTCATTCATACTGTTTGTTAGGAAGATAATGCATGAATTTGACTCTATGCAGTATATGAACAGCAGACTCTGTTTAAAACATTGCCTAATAGTTTTTAATGAGCTGATGAGTCAGTATCCCTCCTCTCTTAGGCCGAGTCCTGCTGTACAGTTCATGACTTCTGAAACTACATTTCGGCTGACGTTCCACTTAGGGGAAATGATGCATTGTATTATTTGATGCATTACGAAAATCCACTAAACGTTTTCTGAGAGTCTTTGAATTGGAGGCATTAGGAGTAGGAAAAGAGGGATCAGAAACAAAATTGGAAGCAAAAGTATAGAAATGACGTGATACTTCACAGAGCAAGGTCTCCTCCTAAAGCTGTGAGAAGATAATAAGATAATAGTAGTTGTTCAAAGCTGTAGTTGGCAGCCTGATACAAACAAAACAAGAAACAATCCCTTCATCTGATGTTTTGTGCATGTATTTATATGTATTTGTGTGTATGCATTTATATATGAATGTTCTTGCATTTGTTTATGTAGTATGCAAATATATTTATATCTCTCTACACATATTTATTTTAATAGTGGAAATACACTGCCTACATGAATTTAAAAAATGTTTAATCTTTGAAAAAGGAACTAGTAGGGATGATTTTTAGCAACATGCTACCTGCTACCCCCTGAGGATGCCCCAAGCACAACCTTAATTTTCCATAGGTGTCTGGCCAGTATCTATTGCTGCAAAGCATTAAGGAAATGGAATAATCACTTCTGTTTTGTAAGTGTGTGTGCAGGTATCCTCCCTCTGTCACATATCTATGCTTTCCTGTAACAGTAGTCTTTAGCTTCTTCAAGCAATATATGTCTGTGTATATTTATATATATATATATATATATATATACAGGCAAGGGAGAAGATTCATTTACAGAGGTGCATAAGATTTGCCAAGTTAGGCGACAGGCAACACCCTTTAAGGTATAAAAAGATTTGTCAAGTTAGGCGACAGGTAGCACCCTTTAAGGTATAAAAATTTCTTCTTGTTTTCCATGGGATTTTATTGGCAGCAGTGGTGACCATTACTTAAAAAGGACTTCAGACTTGTTGCTTCACACCGAGACACTTTCTGCTGAAATGTTTTGATTCATTCTCCCATTTCTGATACTCAAAGTGATTGCCATTTTCTACCTGTTCCTAGAGCAACAAAACCAATCCCTCTCCTGCGTCATATGCTGCGTGTTTTGTTTGTTCTGTGGACCTTTTCCTCCAGGAACGGCTTTACTCTGCTACAGCAGTGATCTTCTTTAGCTTCTTCCGGCGCTTTCTGCTATACGTGCTTTCGCTTCCCTCTCCTTGACTGACAGCCCTTGCCCTGTTGTGTTTTATACGTATTCAGTTAAGTGACAGTTCTTAAATATAACTGCAAATGGGAGAGGAGATTTATACAGGTGAGAAAAATGCATGAATAGTAACAGAGCAGAGCTCTTGTGAGGATATAACTTTACCCCTCTGTCCAAAATCAAATTGAAACTTCTGTCTTTTCCCACTTTTCCCAGTTAATGGAGGGCCCATGGAGGGCCCTGAAGCTAAAGGGATGGGTGCAAATTCACTTAGCTGAAATCAGAATCAGCTTCTGAGAGAGATCTGACAGATTCCTGCTGCAGTTCTCAACTTTGTCAAGCAGAAATAATCATAACAACAGCAGGGAAATGTTGTTTTTCTCAAAAACACTCTAGAGGACTTTATCAACAAAGTCTAAACATCCAGTTAAAAACTTTGCTACAATCTGTTTTTCCAACTGTGTGGGTATATGTCCTGCAAATGCTGGGGGATGGATAGAATCAAGCTCTACTTTGCACGAGTAGTTTACTTTGAAAAGTAAAAATTTCTGGTCCAGGAGGAAATACGTTTATGGGGAATTCTGCTAGGCATAGGCATGATGAGTATATGCAAACATAAATTTCACTCTTGAGGGAAGACCTCTGGATCATTTCTGACTTTGCCCACTGATCCAAGGCACTTTACTTATCCACAGTTTGGTCCCTAGGAAACTGAGCTTGCCAATAAAACGTCTTTTAAACCAGGATACAAAATGATCTCTCAGGTCAGGTGCATTTCTCTCACAATGCATCATTTCAGGCTCTCAGGAGAAAACACCAGTCTTTGTAGACAGGAGGTCTGCGTCCTTTAAAGCAGCCTTTGCTATATTAATTTTTTGTTTCCTCCGTGAAAGGACTTGCAGCAGGCTTAATGAGCTACGAAATGTGATAGCTCGCAGAATTCTCCCATTCATGCGCAGCTCCGCGTGGTTTCCGCCAGGCCTGGCTTTTTGGACGCTTATTCAATTACTCGACTCTTCAGGTTTGCGTTTGTGAAAAACAGTGATGGAGTACAGTGTCACAGGTCACTTCTGATTAAACATCCCATCCTTCTCGCAGACATTTAGCTCAGAATCCATTTGTGTGCGACTGCCATTTGAAGTGGCTGGCTGATTACCTGCAGGATAATCCGATAGAAACCAGCGGCGCTCGATGCAGCAGTCCGCGTCGCCTTGCCAACAAACGCATCAGCCAGATCAAGAGCAAGAAGTTCCGCTGCTCAGGTAATTCATTTATCCAGGCTGTACTGCACTTTCAATTCAGAAATAAGCAGGTCCAGAGAGCCTTGCTAATCGAATCTGCAGGACAGTGTTTGCTATAATGGATATTATGGAGCATCTTTTAAAATTAAATTTGGAAAATTGAGTTAGTTCCCCAGAAAAACCAATTACCTTATGGATTAAAAAAAAAAAAAAAAGAGGCAGTCTATAGCTGTCTTTCTTCTGTGTTGTCTCTTAAAAAAATAAAAACAAAGGAAAGAGAAAATGTTGTGACATTTAATTTTAAAAGAGTTGCTAGCTGGTAAAATGTCTGAGGAAAACAGTGAAGATGTGTATGAATCCATGTGGCAAATGTCATATTTTGGAGGGGTGGAAGCTGGGTGGATCTTCATGCAATTTGGATTCTGGCACAGCTCTCATCGACCTGAATGAGAGCTGAGCTCCAGCAAGTTCTCGGACCTGAAAAGCTGAGGACAGTCTGGGCTGGACTTCTATACAGCTGGCAGGGGCACTTCTGAGCTAGGACATGGGTCAAGCTGGGGCTGGGGGGATGAAGGAGATTCCTCTACTTTGGTAGATTTTTGCTCTCCGTGACTAAAGTGTATTAAATTCAAGTGAAACTGCTGTTGAAGTTAGTGAGATTTTCGTCTTCAGTTTTGAATCAGAACGTGTATTATAGTTTGGTCAGAAGAGTTTGTGGTGTGAGCTAGATGGAACCATTTCTTGAAAATAATGTGCAAAGTAGCATAAACACCTCTTTCTCAACCCTAACCCTTTATTTATGGTCTAGCTGTCAATAAAAGGACATTTATTTTCTTATACAGCACAACTGAGCAGACTGCTTCTTCATGTGTTTTTTCTATTGGTTGTACTTCAGATTACTGCCTTTCAGGTATGCTGAGAAGACAAGCAGGTTTCAGTGAGAAAATCTATTAGCGTGTATTGAGAAGAAAAATGACTGCTATTGATGGAGAACCTTGCAGTGTTTTCTGTAAAAATTACTGTGATTTTGTCCTTTCCCTCTGAAAGGAAAAAAAATACCATGATTACTTGTGTTCCCGGTGGTAAAAGATGGAGGACGCTAGATGGAGATGCAGCACAAAACTGAATGGCAGCAGCCCAAAACAAGCCATTGTGCTTTGTGCGTCTCTGCAAGCAATGTGCTGAGCTAAACCATCTCTTTGTGAGGAAAATAAAATAAAGATAACTTCATTTGCAGTCAGGTTGTCTTGGGCATGCTTGTTAAACTCTTCAATCATTTGTGACTCAAGCCACAGAATTTCTAAGCAAAATTGAAATTATGGCATACTTTTAGCTAGGTTTTTGGATTGTGCCCATTATAGTAACAAGATAATTAGTCAGTGATATTCATATTTAAATAAACTTGAAATGAAAATGCATAAATATAATTTAGAAAAGAAAGTACACTGCAGAAACAGATCGATATAAATCTGTTTATTTGCCCATTGTTATTTCTTCTGCATGTATTAATAGGTTAGAAAAATTGGTGCGTTATGTGTGTATATGTATGTCTTGAACAGGCTACTGGTAGAGCCTCTTGGATAAGGCAAACACCACCGGATATCTTTTATGAAAGGTCATAGCTAAAAGAGCAGCAGTGCAGAGCACTGTACCTGGTGATGTGGAGAATAATATTTGGTGTGAGTTCTTATCTTGAGGGTCCTTTCCTTAAGGCATTAGGCTGTTTCTTCTTTGCTCTCTAGTTCTAAGAGTATATCAAAACCCCATGGAAAAGGCATAAACCTGACTTATGAAGGCGGAGGGCGGGGATTGTACAGCTACAGAACAAAGATTTCAGCTGGCTGAAAACTAATTCTATTCAAAAAGCTCAGCAGAGAAGCTATCCTTGCCTGTAAAATTTCCAGATGGTGGTGAGACACACCAAACTCAACTCATTGTCTGCTCACATGCAATGGGCAACTTCTGACGGCTTGGAAGAATCTTAGTTTGTAAATCAATGCAGAGACCGGACATCCTTGACACCTGTTCTGTCTGCTCAAGTCGTCCCTTTGAATCGTGGCTGTTTCAAACTTGGCATTTAGGAGGAATTTTCCAAGTTTTCATGTTGAGGAATATGTTTCATCCCAGGGTTTAACACGGCAGATGTCTGTGCAGAGAAGTCCATGAGGTACGAATCCTCCTCATTCGGAGTGAGACTCATGGGTGGTGCTTTGCATTAGCCAGGGATAAGCCTACGTGATCGCGTGGTGGTGACAGTGCTCAGTCACTTGACAGTGTCTTTGCTGACTTTGGGATTCTCCTTATCTATATCTTTTGTTCAGTGCATGATAAAATAATTTCATTGAAAATCCTTTTGTAAAGGTACACCTCTGCTCAGAGGGTTTGCATTTCAGGATCCTGATATTTTCGTGTAGTTTATTTAATACATGTAGTACATTTTAAAGGTCAGAAAGTTTGTTTTGTGGGGAAAAACCCGCTACGGTGGGGGATTTGTTAAAGAACAAATATGAGGAGTTTTATGCTGAACTTATTTTTGGCCATCTGAGAAGTGATGAGGATACAAAGCAAATCTGAGATGTGTGGGAGAAGAGGCGCGCAGCCAGTGGCAAGATCACACCCATGACTTGTTTCATTTAGGTGACCCTAACACTTCAACGTCAGGGAGAGGAAGAATTCTGTAGTCATAAAATCCTGTCTTAGGTTGTCCTAAAGTAATGTATATGTTTTCCTTGTTCAATTGGATGCTGCAAAATATCATAAAGGAGGCTCTCAGAAAGGACCTGGCATGAGAAAAAGTGTGATCATTGAGTAGGTTAAGAGACAAAGGTAAGCACTTTTAGTAGAAGTA